AGTGCAATTTGTAACACATCTCTTAATACAGAACTTGGGGAAAGAAGGGAAGGAGGGAGGAAATAAATTAATTGGAGTACAATCTAAATAAATATCAGTTAACCTCAAACGAAAAGTTAAAGGTAGAAGAGGCAGGAAGGAAAAGCCCCTGCTGAGTTGAAATGAGAAAAATCATTTAACAGAAAAAGTTACTTGCCAAGAAAGAAAGCTCAACCTTCTAAGGTCCAGCTGTTTTCCCAATTACCTCTATAATCTGTATTAATGAGCAAATTTAAAAATGAAAGCTGTCACATAAAATGACAGCACATTTGGGGMTCAGGGCACAGCTCAGGGGCAGAGCATGTACAGATTCAAAACCCAGACCCAGGGGAGGAAAAAAAACCCAACAGCAAACTTACCTCTGTTGATCTATTACCCCCTTGGCATTTCCGTGGTATTATAATTATGAAAAAGGCCACACCAGGTAAAATATTGAATATAAAACTGAACACTATAATTCCAACACCATTCCAACTGGGAATAGATAAGAAAAAAACCAAGTTCTCTCATTTCTATTTATGACATAAACACTTGAATGTGCACATATATAAATTTTTATATATGTATACAAACATACATATACATACATGTACACATATAYAAAACCTTCTTATGTCTCTTATCCATTCTCTATTTGGAATATATCTTTTCATATTTAGTCAAGTTCAGAATTTTTTATCCAATCATTATCTTTATATATCCTAATATATCTGACACCCCCCCCCAAAAAAAAGAAAAATTAATCAAAGAGCAAAAAGGAGAGTTATAATGCAATACAAGCTTTGAATTTTTCACTATAGTAATGCCGCTTGCATTAGTTCTCTTTAGAACAAGCCCATAATTTTACATTTTCAGTCATGATCATGGGTCATATCCTTTTTGTTACTCATGGTCCCAAAGTTCTTTAGTTTAAAAAAATTCTGAGCTGGGAATGTGGCTCAGTGGTAAAATGTTTGCCTAGCACATAAAAGACCCTGGGTTCAATCTCTAGTGCCATCAAAACAAAACAAAACAAAAACTGAAGTATTCTCAACTAAACACAAAAGATTTTGAAGGGTAAAATTCTAAGACTGTCAGATTGCATGGAAAGTTCCAACAGAAATAAAGAGAACTTAAAAGTCATCTTGCCCATATTCCATCTCAAACAGAAATATAACACTATTTAAAGATTATTAGACTCTCAATGTACCTTTCCCCCAAAAGGCTGACTGTTCCACTTGTCAGATAAATGTGATTGTTTAGAGAGTTAACTCATATAGAATTMTTAGCAGGTATATGGTGCACTTTCATGTAGATGACACCTGTCCTRTCATTTCATATGACAACCCTTAAGTTAAGGTTTTTATAACATCTCCCTTAGGGAGATAGGAAAATGGGAAACAGTCTAAACTGCTTTAACAGCCTAAAGTTCCTTTTATAACCTTTAATGGGCAAAGTACAGGCAACACGAAAGTTACAGAAAAATATACACTCAAAGCATTCTGATGTGGCACTTTAAGGTGCAACTGTACACTGGGCCAGGTTCCTGACATTTCCTATTCTAGAAAGTAGCTTGCATACAATGAAAGTATTTAGAAGACGCCGATAAACAGAAAGTTAATGGCTTAAGTAGAGTTCCTGTGTTAGTAAGGCTTCAAGTTCAATGAAACTGCAGTGTGGTGGTGCACGCCTGTAATCCCAGTGGCCTGGGAGGCTAAGGCAGGAGGATCACGAGCCCAAAGCCAGCCTCAGCAATTTAGTGAAGTACTAAGCAATTCAGTGAGACCCTGTCTCTAAATAAAATACTAAAAAGAGGGCTGGGGATGTGACTCAGTGGTTAAGCGCCCCTGGGTTCAATCCCTAGTACCAAAAAAGAAAAGAAAGAAAAAAACCTAAGAGGGGCACAAATTAAGAACATTTATGTATCCCTATTAAAATGAAGGGATAACTGGGTAGGGAGACAGATTTCTCTTAGCATTTGTTTGCCTTTGCAACATCCTTGATTAAATTAGCATTAAGCGGACAATGTACTGAGAAAAAAGCATGGGTAAGCCATCAATCCTGTTTACATTAGATGGTGAAGCACTTGATCAGTGTTTTACGTGGTTAGAAATACATGCACAACTGTAATCCCAGCTACTGAGGAAGCTGAGGCAGGAGGATCTCAAGTTCTAAAAAGCCTAAGCAACTTTAACAAGATCTTGTCTTAAAATAATTAAAAGGGCTGGACATATAGTTCAGTGGTAGAACATGTGCAAGGACCTGGGCTCAATCCTGTACCAGAAAGGGAGAGAGGGGAAAAAAAGCAATTAAGTAAATTCTTCCTAGGATTAGATGTTGTAGTTATTATTTTAAGACCCAAGGTAGGCTCTTTGTATTTAGAGAGATTCCTGACTAGTTATTCAGGCAAGCTTGGAATATCTGGGTGGAGGTTTCAACCATTTGAGCTGATATAAGGAAGGATAACCTGGCTCCTCAGGGCATGAGACTTTGACACCACTGTCAGCATGAGCAGCATGGAGGGAGCACACTTGGATGGAGAGAGCAGTGATTCACACACTACAGTCTCTAGAGCAGTGACTCACACCTGTTTTCTGCCYTCTCCACATATAACAGCTAATATTCGTGGGCACAAACTCTGGCAATCCAGCCTAACTCCACATTTACCACTCAGGAAAATCTCTCTTTGAGTTAGAGTACTATAACTTTGAGTACATTAGAAAGGKAAGCAAGGCACAAACTAGTTACAAATTAATTGTGGCCCACCTCTCAGATGATCTTGATAYTCTGCTGTGCTGTAATTCTAGTATTCAGATCTGCTGCTCTAGAAAGCAAAGGTTGATTTTTCAACTGAGACAAAATTACTGATAACTGTTTAGAAGTAGAATATTTTGCCAGGCAGATGGTGCATGCCTGTAATCCCAGCAGCTCGGGAGGCTGAGGCAGGAGGAACAGAGCTCAAAGTCAGCCCCCAGCAACTTGGTGAGGCACTAAGCAACTCAGTTGAGACCCTGTCTCTAAATAAAATACAGGGCTGGGGATGTGGCTCAAGCGGTAGCATGCTCGCCTGGCATGCGTGCAGCCCGGGTTCGATCCTCAGCACCACATACAATAACAAAGATGTTGTGTCTGCCGAAAACTAAAAAAATAAATAAATGTTTAAATAAAATACAAAAAAGGCCTAGGGATGTGACTCAGTGGCTAAGTGCTCCTGGGTTCAATCAAAACAAAATTTTTWAAAAAGAATATTTTTCCTCACAAGTATTTGTTTGTCTGTTTATGGTGCCAGGGACTGAACCCAGGGGGACTCAMCCACTGAGCCCCATCCCCAGCCCTTTTCTAATTTTTTATTTTGAGATAGTGTCTCACTAAGTTACAGAGGCTGGCTTTGAATTTGGAATCCTTCTGCCTCAGCCTCCTGAGTCACTGGGATTACAGGTGTGTGTCACCATGCCTGGCTCCTCATGAGTATTTCTTACACCATTATTCCTACTATAGAGGAAATAAATATGGATCAAGTTAGAGCAAGCAGTATCATTCTTGTTCAACTCTAACAAAATACTTCACAAAAGCAGCTTTTTATTAAAGTGGCATAATCTTCTTCAGCTCCTAAAGGAGCTAGAAAGGGCTGGAAAGAGCATCTAGTAAAATAAAATGCCTCATTTCATAAATGAGGAAATTGAGCCTAGGGAAGTCCAAGGACTCACACTTGATTACCCAGCTAGTAAAGAGCAGAGTCAGAAGTGAACCAGGTCTCTTAATTCCTGTCAGTCCAGTACAACCAATACCACAACCTCCTAAGAAGAGAGATGCAGACTGAAGTTTAGAAAAACTGTCATATTTAAGTTCAAAGTGAAAATGAACAGACTCTGACAGGTGCAAGAGGGAAAAGGTAACAGGTGCAAGAGGTAAAGAAATGCTGCTGCCCACAGGAGAAAAACTGATTAAAACCAAGTAGAAAATTCAGCTAAACTTTATGACAAAAAGCTGAGAAAGGATGTGAGTTTAGAACCCTGGATATGCATGACTTAAATATTTTTAAGAGGTTAAAATTATATAATTAAGAATATTAGAATAGAGGATCAAACAGTGTATAAAGAAATCTGACAGCACAAAGAAAGAACTTTAATCTACTATATTTCATTAGACTGTTAAGTTCTTTCTTCACATAAAGCTCTTTGCTATGAAATTTGAAGRAAAAAAAAAACTTTTTGGCTTAAATAATCACTTGTAAAAAACAAGGACCACTCTAAAGCTTTATAGTATAGGAACATCTTCTGTATGCTCTTCCTAAAAACAATACAAACACAGGAAGAAGCAATCTTTGGTTTCCCTGTCAATGAAGTACTTTGCTGAAAAAAGATAGTCCCCAAACAAGTTTTCTTCTGTTTATAAGGTTGTGATGAGACAGCCAGGCTTTGAAACAGCCTGGCTTTTAATGCTAGAAAGGGAACGTCACCTGGTGCTTGTAAACAGATGGCAAATGATTAAATGTATGAACCGTCTGGCGTGAAGCAGTTAATTTCACCAAGACTGTGTTATATGTGCATAATTACCAAGTACCCTGCCTCTATACATATACTTAATAAGTTTTTAGAACTTTAGACAGTTTTTAGATCTCACTAAGTTATACAAAATCTTTGATCTGAGAAGCTGCTGTCAATATAATAACTAGAGACACATTATATATAATTCTGACATATCAAAAATATTTACATTACAACCAACACACATGGTCAATGAATAGAAAAATTATTTATAAATACACACATATTTACAATGAGTTCCCTRGGCAATAGGGACCAAAAAAAATAAAATCACAAGAATACAAAAACTTTTGACCTAATACCAGCTGGTCAAACTGGGATTCTTGCTGAAGACCTTGAATATCAAAGCCCCAGCCTCAACTACCTGCTTAAAACCACTGAAGAACCCCAGGCACACTTCCCAGAGGGCTCCAAAGTTATTTTTGCTTTTGGAAGGTAGAGTAGAACATCAAAGCAGTAATGTTTTCTCAGGGTTGTTCTGAGAATTAAGATAATTCCAGCAGGTTAAGCAGCAATCAGACCTTCCTGATAGGCAAAGCACACCTCGGCACATCTCCATGGAACCATCAGGAAGCACATTTGTCCTGTATCTTCCTCTGCCAGTGCTGCATAATTTTGATTTGATATACCCATTTCTGTCAGCTGTTACCCTTCCTTCATCAGGCATAAACCCAAATGCCTGTCCTACCTTGGTGTGGTCAGATGTAACCATGAACAAAGAGTAAAGCAAATGCTGACTTTGGGGTTTCTTCTGAACTCTGAGGTAGTAAGTACAAATTAGTTCACTTTTGTCTCTGCCCAGATTTTATCCTAGAGTGGGTTTCATGTACCCTCACTACCATCTTGAATGTTCCGAGTCCTACTAAATTCAAAAGCATGGTCATGTAACCTGTGGCAGGGCATGGGGGAAGAAGAGTCTGGATCTCTCTCTGCCAGGCCTTCATTTCGATGAAGTTGTGGTGACTCAAGGACTGGTTGTTGGGAAAAGGGCGGATGAGACAGGCCTAATTCTCTGTTTATGTTCCACAGAGGCCGTTGCAATGTTTCTGAGAATGAAAGACAAGAATTATCAGTGGTGACTAGAATTCAAAATTAATTTTCTAAAACTTAATGTCCTTTTAACCAAAACCCCAAAGACATAAAGATGCCCAGTATTCCTGAATAAGAACATGGAGAACAAATGTGTATTTGCCATATTCTTAGCCACAATTAAAAAAACATAACCATACAAACATTGAATACAGTAGTAATGACAATACTGTTCAAGTGCAAACCCAAAACAATACAGCTCTTGAATTTTATAAACTATCACTGTTTTTTTGTTCTGTTGCAATAGCAAACTGCTTTTCCATTAATGGAGACTCCATGCCTTTCAAGCATTTTAAATATGATATGATAATATTTATAAATGTGAGATTTGGAGGAATTGTTTAAATTTTTTCCTAATTTTCATTCTCTTCAGAATAGATTCTTTCAACAAGTAATTTTTTTTTTAAAGACAGAGAGAGAGAGAGAATTTTTTTTTTAAATGTTTATTTATTTAGTTAGTTAGTTAGTTTTCGGCGGACCCAACATCTTTGTTTGTATGTGGTGCTGAGGATTGAACCCAGGCCACACGCATGCCAGGTGAGCGCGCTACAGCTTGAGCCACATCCCCAGCCCTCAACAAGTAATTTTTAATAATGACTGTGTTGACTTCAATTTTTGTAGTGTAATGGCTATGTTAAAGATTAACTATTTGGTCTAACTGAAGCCAATACAGAACTTGCAGCTATATTTTTTCTTCAGTGACAAATACAATACTTACAAAATTAAAAAAAAAAAAAAGGAACTGTGGCCTATTAGATCCTTATATTCAATGAATTTAACCAATTAATTTCTGAAACTATGCTGTCTTATGCTCATTCAGCTATTATTTTAGTGGTTCTGCTACATCAAAAATTAAATGTTATACATACATGGAAAATAACTAAAAAGACAATGGTATCYTAATTATAATGAAAGTTTCATGATACATGAGTAATAACTGCTGATTTTGTGCTGCTGTTACATCTTTAAATGTTTTTGTTTTAAAAAACAAACAATCACTGTACTGGGGTTTTAGCTCAGTGGTAAAGCACTTGCCCCACACACGTGAGGCACTGAGTTCAATTATTAGCACCACATAAAAATTATAGAGATATTGAGTCCATCTACATCTAAAAAAATAAACAAACATCATTAAAAAAAATCATTGTCTTCTAACTTCTAGAATGTAAGAGCCAAAYAAATACAAGCAATGAATAATAACCAAAAGCAACTATATTAAATGACATTATCTATACTCTGGTTTCAAAAAAATCTGCATTTCTCTCATTTTTATTACACTAGTGAACTATTTTCCCCAAAACTACATTAAACATTAACTTCATTACATTAACTTCACCTGGTGCATTTTGGAAAAAGCTAGCCTAACATTCTGGGAACCGAAACCCACAAATAAAAATCGATGTGAAAAGTAAGCTAGAGCAAGTTTTTCAAGCTTTAATACACACAGAAATAACCTGGGGATCTTGTTGAATACATGGGCATTTTATCACTGAACTACATCCCCAGTCCTTTTTATCTTTTGAGACAGAGTCTTCCTAAGTTGCTGACTGTCTCTAAGTTGCTGCCTCAAACTTGTGATCTCTGGCTCCAGCTCCAAAGTAGCTGAGATTACACATGTACACCACCACAACCCAGCCATGACTGCCTTTCTAACAAGCTCTGAGGTAATGCTCATGCTGACAGTCCTAGCCCACACTTTGGGTAGCAAGAATCTATAGTACCCTAGATARRCAAWKSA